TGAAATCAATTTCTAGCAAGGAGAGTTCCAGTTAGATTAAGGCATTGGAAATTTTAATTCAAGTTTGCAGTTATGTTCATTTTGATTCTCCATACATGCCCAATCACATCTTTTTCAGTTCTCTTTTTTTATGGCTGTTTTTTTAAAGTGGGATATGCATGCCTTTGAAAGTACTTTTCAAGTATACAAGAGACAAAGGCATGAGAAAGCAGAAGGGAAAGCAGAAATATAAGTGAAGGAAAAAGGAAAAATTACTAAGAACAACTCTGCAGTATTTCTTAGGTCATTTGAGAGATTACAGTGTAATTGTAATGATGTGTCACGTTTTAATTATCCATAGCAGAATTATAGACATATGTAGAACTATTCCTTCAAAAGGGGCATGCATCCCACAAATGATGAGAGCTACTGGTTTATGATGTAACCATTATCACAGTAAGCCAGAGTCTTTGCCTACACTGATTACAAAAATTATTTAAAAAATTAAATAAACTCTTTACAAAAAGTACTTTGTGGGAAAATCCCCCACTATCAATGTTTAATGTATATGGGACCTAAAACAGAGATTGTGTATGCAAGGGTGAGTTCTTTTCCTTACCTTTTTCAGCATCCAAGATGATCTTTACAGACTTTGAAATCACCCAGTAGGTTGCACTGGATTGAAGCTTTGAATGGCTTTTTTTTTTTAACTTGGTGGCTTGAATTGTAATGATACAGTCCTCAGGATATTTTTTGCAATAAGATTGCCATTAGTTGTACTTTTAGAACAATGAATGGCATTGTTTGAGATACACAACATGCCAACTTAAGATACGCTTTAGGATTTCATTTTAATTGTACTGTAGACATTAAGCCATTTTAAGACAGTGAGTGTTTCAGATCTTAAATATTCCTTCTCTTGCTTCCTTACATCATTGCCTTCTCTTTATAAATAATATTTTACTGAACAGAGTTCCGACTGCCAGACTAACAAGAATATCATAGTTTTTCTCTGGTTCCCTCAACTCATTGACAGAGGTTGTCTTTATCTGTGAATTATTGCAAATGAAATGAATAGGAGGTTTTATTTTACATGCTTCATGTTCTTTTAATAAAAATTAAAAATATCTACTATAAAATGCACTTCTAAAATAAAACTCCAGAGCAAAAACTCCAAAATGTTAACTATTTGTGTACAGATACTGTTGACCCTGAAGACAGCAATTATGTTTTAGTTTTCATCTCACATTAATTTTTATACAGTGTGATAAGTATGAAGTTCATTTATTTTATACCCAGGTATCTAGTATTGTACTTCCTATAGTATTTTTAAACACATTTTTTATTATAATCTTCTGAGTTTCTTTGAAACAGTGGAGCTCGGCTATAAAAGTTTGCTTTAAAAAAAGCTTTCATTCAAAAATGAATGGAGTTCAGTGCAATTTAAAATTATTTGGATTGCTCTTAAATGTAAAGTGTTCCCAGAACTTCAAATTGCTTCTTTCTTCATGTGTGCAGATACATTCTTTGCTCACCTGAAGCACTTCAAAGCCTTTGAAGTGATCCCAGTTCAGCACTTAACACAGAGCAGTTTCCAATTTGCAGAAGTCCTTCAAAATCATTACAAGTGGTTTACTTGGGAAATATGTCCTCTGTCAATTTTATTAAACTGTTCCTGGCATATGAGGATAAGTTAAAAATGGGAATATATGAATAATATAAAAAAATGCTGTAGCAGGCCTTCACCAGGCATACCAAGGAGAGAGTAAGATTAGAATAGAGCATTGTTCTGAGAATCTGTAGAAACTTGTTCAAATGCTGCAGTCTCAAGCTGTTGCTGATTGCTATGAGTTTGCAAACATGTATGTCAGGAGGCAATGAATTTTCACTGTTGGTTGCAACAACTTTCTTTAAATAGATGAGGACTTAAATAACGCTCTGAGATAAATCTTTCTCATTTTTGCCAATTTGTAAAGAAGTGACTAGTCAAACACTTCTACCATAGCATGTTAACTCTTTGCAGACAAAGAAAAATGTGCTTTTCTGATTCATTCCTGGTTTCACCAAACTTTCTTCAAAAAAATTGGCTACTGACTTGGAGCACCTTGTTTTGTGGTTGCCTGAGTTTCTGCAGTAGTGCTACACGTCTTTTTCTTTTTTTCAGTTGAAATCAATGGAAACTAGAGGTGCTCCATATTTCTGAAAAAAATCATCCAATTGAGGTATCCAAACACTGGAAACAGCCAACGTTAAATGACTGCTTTTGGAAATACAATTGTAAATAACTAGAAGTGGCAGTGTAGGGCAATTTGAGAGGGATTCAAACTTTTATTTAATTTTTCTGGGTTTTGGACCGACCCCTTGTCTTTCTGCCTTGAGGTACAGGAAAGTATTTATTATACCAATAAACTCTTCCAAAAGTTCTCTGTGAATGAGCTGGTGACTTCTTTTAAAAGGATAACCTGAGGAAGGTGAAAAGAGAGCGATGGATGCATATCACTGACGAGAACTCTTTGTCCAGCTTGAAGCAACCACAGATTTAATTACTGTGTATAGTATGTTACATTTTATTCCTGAAATTTAGAAAGTAAGTTAGTATTTTGGCCATTATGATTACCATAGTATTCCTCAAAATAAGACGTCTGTGGATATAGCATGCCGTCATGTTCTTGCAAAAAAATCCTTTTACTAAACATATTTGTCATCTTTGACGTTGTTTTATCTTGGACTAAGAACCAACTAAGTGCATTGTGGTGGGCGATGTCTTCTCATTTTATTTCTTAATAAGCTTCAGTGCCATTTGTGACAAAACCTTGGGGTGTTGGGGTGCTCCCAGATACACACACCAGGGGTTTATCTAAGCTTACTGGTCCCCCGTTCCACCAAATGGGTATGCCCAGGTTATTAATTTGACCAGAAATCACAATTTACAAGCACTCCAGTGAAATAAAGAGTTTATTACATGGAAAGAAAAAGCGATCAAATGCTTTGACACCAGAATATGGTAAAACAAAACTGACAAAATCCTTACCCTACCCTCAGACTACCGCTAGCCTTTGTCATGTTTCTATGGCCAGCCTCCTCTCAGTCCCAGTTAGCTTCCTCTACCAGGGACTTTCAGTCCACCTATCCTCACAGGGAGCCCTCTCTCTCCTTACTCTCTCACTCCTTCCCAAACACAGGTACCTACCTTCAGGGGAATTAGAGAATCCTCTGAGTATCTCTGCGTGTGGCTCCATGACACTTCATGTATTATTATCTGATTACTGTGACTATTCTATGATAAGTTTACAGTTAAAAAGCACCTGTTGATTTCAGCTGTAGCTGTCGCCCTGCTGGATAAAATCATTATTTTAATGAAAATATTCTTTCTAATTTACTTTTTAACAAATTACTTTTTAAAGCTTAACCTGCTCTATGACAAGACAGTTCTTCCTGAAAGGTTGTGAATTTCACATTGCATAATGAATGCAGCTACTTTGAATATACAGAGTATCTTTATAATCAGAATGACTGAAATCTTTCTGGTTTTCTTATTAAGTAGAAGGTAATGTTCTACTGATTATCATGGAGTAGTTTTATGGGTTTCTCTGTACCTGCCGGAGACACTGGTATAGAGAGGAAAAGTTCTACATAAACATAAAGACAGAAAACTCAGTTCCTATTTTTAAGATGTTTCTACTGTTTTCTGTATATTTTATTACTTCATTCTGAATCTGATACTGCATTGATTTCCATAAGTGGAAAACTTCTATTGACTGTATTCAAATTGTACAGACCAGAGTTTGAGTTTTGCTATACTTGTATTTCCCTTCAAATAGATCCAAATACATGATAATTATAAAATCCATCACAAGATGACATTGCTATACATTTAAAGTTTTGCATAGTTTAGAGTTGTACCAATTTTTGTAAGTCTTCTGTTCACATTGGGTTCATGTACAGCTAACCTGCTAATCTTACTTATATTTCAGGTAGTCACAATTCATGCTTCTCAATCCGTTTTTCTTGCCTTTACACTGTATCTGTGTACAATTTCATCTACAAACAAATTGAATTGCCATCCCTGCATAAGTCTCTTAGACGTGCCTCCTTCTATATAAATTGAAACATTGCCAGGGATGTCTAGCTTTTACTCAAGATAAATATGATTAACAGAGCCAATAATTTTCCACCTCCAGCCCCATCTGTTACCTGCTTTCTCAGTACTGTGGACAATATCACCATTCTGTATAGCTCAGGTAGTTTTCTTTGTCCGGATCTAACTCTAGGTCTTGCAGATTCTTTTACATAACATTTCTAAGATACAGGTTTTCCAGTTCATCCATGCAGCTACACCTTTCATCCAGTGGAATCTATACATCAGCTCCTTTGCCATCTCATCAAATGTATCCTGTTTGCCTTGTATTTTGAAGTCCTAGAGTGGTCACCTCTTACACCTTTTTGAGATGTTGACTTTTATCTCTTAGCAGCCCATGATGCCAGCTTTCACAGCACTTGTGCAGATGTGTTAGAAAATCAAACACCTTGTGTTTGTGGTAGAAAAATGAAACGCTATCTATACTTTAAAAAAAAAGAAAAATTGCAGGTGGAATATTAGTTTCAACTTGTTAGGCTTGAATATTAACAATACACCTTGATCTTGATTCTCTTTGGTGGCATTTATACATGTGCTTTACTGCAGAGTTAACTAGCTCAACAGTAAAGGATCAATGTCTATAAGTTGTGCAGTGGTATTAGACCATAGTAAACTAATTAACTGTGCCGTAGGATAGTACTACCCAACACAAGTACTAATGCATTATGGGAGGGATACAGGTCAAAAACTATTTTATGACTAAAGCAATAGTTTTCCACCAAAAAATAAAGATTTAATCCTACAAATAGAGCATTAGCAGGCAACAGGAAACATTACATGTTGATGTTTAAATGACTATCGCTTGAAATCACAGACATGTAATCTGTATAAAGCGCTAGGGTTTTGTATATCATTTGAGATTAAATCTTGCAACTGTCAGTTACCTTATTTTTCCTCTTGTTTCAGTGACACAGGAACAAAACCTCCAGAGAGTGGCATCTTTGGATTTATGATTAACATTTCAGCACTTTTAGGTATGCTTAGTGTATTTGGTCTGAACAGATTAGAGAACCTGGGGTACCTGTACACGTGCTGGGAGGCTGCTCCTACACACTGCCGGTTGTAGTACATTGGAGAAGACTTAATTAATTGAGTGGGCCGGAGTGTGCTAATTAGTGTGTTGCAGCCAGCCTCCGCGTCTTACGTATCAGTTTCCCTGTGCTTCAAAATGGTGGCAGGGGTGCTTTTACTAAAGCTCATCTGAGAACCTTTAGTTAAAGCACCCCTGCTGCCATTTTGAAGTGCAGGGACACTGCTACATGAGATGCTGCAATGCTTTAATTAGACTGCCTCTTGGAGCCGCTCTAATTAAAGATCCCCCTCCTCATGAAAGCATGTGTAAAAATGCTTCTGGAGTTAAAATGGGATGCCTGAAAGATGTTGGTTCCTCTTCTACCAGGCCCACCAAAATACTGCTGAAAGGCCACTCCACAAGTGGTAACAACAGCCAGAGTGGGAACTACAGGATATGATCAGTGGATCAGTGAGAGTAGACAGTGGGCCAGTTCTCCTGTCTCCTAAAGTCACTTAATCCATGCAAAACACTTTTGATACAACTGCAAAGGTGAACAGAAGAAAACTGTCAGCTACCAAAACTCTGGCTCAGGGGTAGGCAACGTTTTTTGGCCGGAGTGCCAAAAAAACCACTGTTCACCTTGGAAGCTGCCAGAGTGCCAGCATGCCAGAAAGCCAAAATGAGGGCGGGGGGAGGGGAGGAGGAGGGGTACGTGGCATGACACACTGCATATTAGTATATTTAATAACCATAAATGTGGCCTTTGTTGTTGTGTATTCCTTTTTTGTTGAGCACGTTGCAGTGAGAGAGGGAGAAAAAAGAGACAAATAAGAGAAAGAGGAGAGAGAGAAAGAGAGAGAAAGTAAAAGGAGAGCAGAGAGAGAACCAGACACATGCACATGCACATGCACACAGAGAACCACGTGCACAAACACGGAGAACCAGAACACACCCAGAACAGAGACATGCACACACACACATCCAGGACCAGACACGTGTGTGCAGACAAAGGCAGAGGCAGACAAACACACAGAACCAGATGTGTGGACACATGGAGCCAGGCTCCTGGGCCACTAGACCAAGTTTGACCCAACAATGCCCTGGTCCTGCCAGACCCCCTGTGCTTCCCCAGGGAGCTAGTCCCCAGGCTGCAGTGCAGCTGGCCAAGGCCCTGGCCTGGAGCCTGCCCATCAGCCCAACCACCCACCCACCCTGCACAGCTAAGCCCACAAAAGGTGCAGTGCTCCTGGCAAGAGGCAGCACCAGCCTCATCCTGGTGGGGGGCTGGGCCAGGGCTGGGCTCGGAGCGGGTGGGAGTTAGGTGGGCTCAGCTGCAAGCCCTGCTGCAAACATCCTGGGCTCTATAGGTTTGCAGCAGATGCCTAGAGCCCAGGCTGGCGGTGGCGTGCTGAACAAAATGGTCTCATGTGCCGTGCTCGGCACGCATGCCAAGGGTTGCTGACCCCTGCTCTGGCTGAATAGCTGCGCTTCCTGGATATCACTGGCATAAGGGGAAGAAGGTTGGGTGTGGGTTCAGTGGTGTCAAGGAATGATGAAGTGAACCTTGATTATGCCTGGTCCCCAACTGACTCTGTGACTTGACACAACCTTCTAATATCATACTTCCTCTAAAGGCCTGTGAGCAGAAGCAAGTTGACTGTGTATGGAGATTGTTTGTAACAGCAGTGCCACAAATGTTATATGGTTTGTTCTTTCGTGTGAACAAACTGTTATAGTGCTACTCTTCAAAGGGTCACATTTGTAGCATGTTGTGAGACTTCCGTTATAAGCAATCCTCTGATGCAGTCAATTTTCCTGTAGAGACCAGTCTCTGAGGGCACATCCCCACAAGCGCGCATGTGCGTTTCCCTGGGGACAACCAGCTGTGGCCCATATTTGTGCCACTGCTTGTTGTCCCCAGGGAACACACCTATATATGCACTCTAGCACTTGGCAAATTGCTCTGGGTGGGGTAGGGGAGACTGGGGCCAGCACCTGGGTGAACTGGGCGTGCAGAGTTAATAACAATTTCTAACAATGTAATTGGGCATGTTTTTTTTTTTCTGTTCACATCCAGTAAAGTATGGGCTAGTCAAGACGTCAGTTTAAAAGCAGCATAGATCCCAGAGGTATCTCTCAGCTCAGAACAAATGCCAAATCCCCTGATTTACTGCTCATAGCTCTGTCATAACCTTTCCTGATGTGGAATGCTTACATGTCAACATTACCTGCTTCTGAAATCCTGATGATAATGGGATGGGAATGGCCCCCTGTCCTAAACTGCTTCAAAGCTATCTAAAGAAGCAATAGGGTAGTATCTGAAATAAAGAATTTAAATATTCCCCATCCTCATCCCAGTTGAATTACAGAAGATGCATCTCAGTATATAATGTTTTTAAGTTAATTTTTTTTCATATGCTATTTCTTCACAGAAAATGTTAAATATAACAGAATTACATGATTATTGAATAAAAGGTGTATTTTTCTGTTTTAGGTGCAGTTACAATGTACATCAGATATTTAATAGTAGAGAAGCAAAAAGAGTCATCAGATTTTGTTGGTTCTTTATTTAACTTAATTACATTATGCATTGGACTGCTAGGCTGTATTGGAATGGGCATTGTTGCAACTTTTCAGGTATGGTACAATTTTCATCATTAATCAAGCTTAAACATTTTCACAGTAAAAAAACCACAAGATTATAAAAGTATGTGTTTAATACACAACCGTGGGCAATGGGCATCAGGAGAAAGTGTTCTTTTTTACTCTCACCTTCATATTAGCTTCATCCAATGTCAGGTTTAAATTAGATATTTTTTACAGTGCACTAAATTGATTAAGAGGTACCGTTTTTGGCAAAGTTTTCTAAACCAGCAAAAGTTATAGTATAAAAGCAGTTATAACTGATAAAAGTGCTTATCTGGGAATCAAAATAAGTTATGTTAGAAAACAACACTTTCTTGCCAATATAAGCAACGTGTACACAAACTACCAGGATAGCTATACTGGGAAACATTTTCTAATGTAGTCTAGGCCAAATACAAAGTGGGTGCTATCACCACCAATCTGAAAATTGTCAGCCCATCATTTAATGTCTGAAGAAGAGAGGGAAGCAAACAAATTGTCTGATAAAAACATGAAAATTGTTGTTTAATTAAAGCCCTTTTATATTGGGAGAAGTGTAAAAAAAGGACTAGTGTAAATGGGGTGGGGGATGGGAGAGGAAGATTAAGACGACAGTGTTTAAAATGAAATGTAAGGAAGAAAGAAAACATTTAAATAGAAATAATCGTACTACTAACTGTTTCAGTGAAAAAGTATCTGGCAAGACAGACTGTATCTGAGACTGACTAAGCCCATTGGAAAGAGCGAGAATAATTGCACAGAGCCCCTCAATTCAGGGACAACTTGAGTTCCAGAGCCAAGTGGCAAACGGCATTTTATGAGAAATTATTACTTTAAGATTTGTGAAATTGAATTTAAGAAGCAGTTACTTAAGCTCTTATCTTTCAGGCCTCGCCTATATTGGTACTTTGCTGACAGCACCATAGTTGTTAGCAAAGTTGGGAGACCTAGTAAATACAAGGGTCCTATGGCTGCAGCCTTTTTAGAGACTATTAGTTGAGTTTCTTCTTTAAAATTGCAATGACAACAGGAAAAGTGCATCAGTCAGTCTACAGAATATTTTGAAGTATACCTTTATGTTTAAGGCATGCTCACCATGGCCTAGATTCAGCAAAGCATATAGGCATCTGCTTACATAATAGGTCTTGTGTGCTGGAATACTGGCTCAGTCTATGCTAGAGGATCTGCTGCTACTTTAAATATGGATGCAGCAATCCAGCATCAGGGCCTTCTGGTGCAAGTAGGAGTTTTTCTGTCACCGGAGCTACACAAGCACCCCTGAATAACAGAAGCTCTGCTGGCACAATCTGCCTTCTACTGGAATACCTAGCTGCATTCCCACTGCGGTTTGTTGCTCGAGCTACACAACATACCCAGGGAAGCTCTTTTGATAGTATTTTGTAATACAGACAAGGGTTTAGAGACATGCTTAAGTACCTTGCTTTCTGAGTAGAAACGGACTTGAGCGCATGATTTATTCCATGTTTTGCTGAACTGGGGCCTATAGGAACAAACAAGAACATATAGCTTAGGGAGATATCTGAAGGAAGATGCATTAGGCACAGAACTTTTGCAACTACTATGGCTGAGCTAGGTTGAACTGCAGCTTGTGTGAGCTAGTATCTTTGGCTTATGAAAGGAAGTCTTATTTTCAGAATACCCGTGCAGAATTTTTTTTGTTTCGTAAACCAATCACTGATCAAAAGCAAAACAATTTGAACTGTAAATAAGCAACTAAAATAATGCCATTTTTCTGCCCATTTCTCTTCCTTTTAAAAAAGAAAATAGGCTGTTTCCTGAGCTTAAAGGTACTTAGCCATGTTGAGTAGCTACAGTCTTTTTATTCAGAAAGAGAACACAGCCAGTCCATTTACAAAATTAAAATCACCTTGAAAATGCGTTAAGGTGTCTAAAAGTATATTGCAAGTGTAATGTGCTGCTGATCAATTTCTTATCATTTAACTAATACTGTGCAGGATGCAGCAGACTTTGACCTGAGCTGCAAACTCAGGATTTATTATGCTGTTCAGGTTGTTGGAGGTGAGGGCAAAGTTTTTACATATTCTAGGATTGTTGGGTAGAATAGAATTGTTGGCAAGGAAACCTGGCTGTGGTACCAAGAGGATTTCTGGAACCAATGGACATTGTGAAGTCTGGATAGCCCTTTGCAGTTTGAACCCCATGATCTCTCCATCTTCCCTCTTAGTCTTCCTCAAAGCCTTTATTTCTCAAACATCTTAGCTGCAAATATTTTGAAGTCTTGAACCAGAAATAGCCCCTTCCATTTATATTGCCCACAGTCCTACTAGTGCTCTTCATGCTGGTAAGATGCTGGGTGTACTTCTTGTGGTCCTCTGCTCCTTTCTCTCAGTATGTTGGAGGCAAGTGGAGAAAGAAGAACCAATTGCAAGAAACACTTCAAGAGCAGACTTGGCAATAACAGTGCAATATCAAGAGCTCTCATCACTGCAGGGAAGGGATTGAAAATGTAAGATGGTAAGCAGCATGACCTGGCAGAGAGGTTGATATCTTGGAAAAAGGGAGGATAGAAATACTTCAGCAAAAAAGTACAAGTGCTTTCTAGGTGTACACTTTTTCTAGCACTTGTCCTTGACCAAAGGAAAAGGAAAAATGTAGATCCCTGCCTATTATTATCCATGTTTTATTTTAAAACTCTTTCTCCAATTCTTGGAAGCTTTCCAAAAAAAGAAAATTCTTTATATGGTTTTGAGATCTTATAGGAAAGTTTAAATAGTGTTCTCACTTATTTTACCATTTTTAATACAACAGTATCTGGAAACACCAAAGACCGGGGCTCTGTTATTCTTTATGCTGTATAGACACATAGTAAGATTAGCCCCTGCCTCAGAGTTTAACAGTCTAAACAAAGAAGGAATGTTTTCATCCCTGTTTCACAGATGGGGGACTGAGGCACAGAGAGATTAAGTGACTTTATCCAAGGCCACACAAAAAAATCTAATAGAGAGTTCAGAACTCAACCCAGATCTCTTGAGGCCTAGTCCAGTACCTTAATCATAAGTCTGTCTTTTCTCTAAGATTTTTTTCTCATTTGATGGCGGCAAGGCTGCTACTGAGGTCTCATTATTGCTTTACTTTTCTTTTCTCTGTGCTGGATAGAGGAAGTATTACTCAGAACTGTGTGTGAACACTGAGAAAAATAACTAATATATAAAGCATCTAAATTTAATCATTTCTCCCAAATCCTCTTTAGCTTGAGAAACACATTCTAAGCTACAGTACAAACACCACTGAGAGGTGCAAAAGGCCATCCAAACCAAGTGTTCTACAGTCATTGCTATATTTCTGTATTAGTGCTTCTGCAAACCTAGTATAAAATCCAGTAGATTCAGTCCCAAGGGGGAAGAACCATGGGATGTTAGACAGTGTTTTTAAATTTTCCCTAGGATGTCACGTAACTTGCTGCATGTTAACAATAACTTGCCAAAAGCCTGAGCCAAATAGTGTGTTTAAATAATCTGCACTAGCTTTGATTTCACCTCCAAAATCAGGACAGCTGAACTTTTCATTTATTAGCATAACCATCATAGTACAGTAAAGTTTTTAACATTTTGCAGCCATTTTCACCCTTGTCTGAATTAGCTGTCATAAGCTTTTATTTATTTAATTTGTTTGCATACATACTGAGTCAATAATCCATTGTTTGCAAGTTTCCTTGCATAAACTCATATGACCATATATTCTGTAGTTTTTACATATTGACTACAGATAATTTCTCATGTGGAGTAAAGGAAATCATTTTAAGGAGGCACAAAGGTAGAAAACTATTTTTGTTAGAATGGATGGAGAACGATGTCATCTTTCTGTTTTGCCACAATATTAGGTGACTTCAATTTCTGCAGCACTGTGCTTATAAAATAGCTTAACAACCATAACTGTATGTAGGGAAAGAACAAAAGAGGGTAATGAGGGTAGGCAAGTAGAAGGAGCTGAGAAACAGAAAAACTAAGGCTTGGGAGAAAATGTATGGAGGATTTAAAAAAAAACAAGGAATTCAATTTGGCATAAAATAGATGATGGGTTATTTTCAGGCTAAAAGACACATCTTTTCCTCCCTTTCCTCCACTTCCTTACAGTGGTGTCTTCCTTTGTTAATTTTACCTTGCGGAAGTAGGGATGGTTGATGCTTTGCAAGAAAACACTTACACACTAGATTTGGCATTGTTTATCACTTAAAAAACCCCTGTGCTACTATTGGATTTGGTTCATAGATGGCAAAAGAAAAAAAATCACTACTATAGTGGTTAAGATCACCTTTCACTGGTTCCACATAATAAAAATCATCTGCATCAGAAAACAAAACCAAGGAGAAAAATAGGAAACAGAAATAAAAATAGTGTGTGGTCAGGAAAATAAAACTTTGACATACAGCACAAAGAGGGAACCCCATCACAAGGTATTGTGATTCTTGCCTGACTCCCTCTCCCATATTATTTCTTGTTAGTTTATGCTTTCATCTTTTAATTTCTCTTTCCTCCATATTTTCTCCCCCAAATTTTGACTTTTCATAAATTCATACAAGACATAGTAAGGACTCCATTTCTGCAGTGCAGAAATTTCTAAACACCCTTGTTTGCCAAAGATTGGATAGAAATCATGGATTCACAGCACTTTGCAGGACTGGGGCTTAACATTCTGAGATGTATGTGAGTTGAACAGCATCAGCACTTGGCTTTTGTATCTTTTTGGGACACCCGGGTAGAAAGTGCCCTGTATATTTATCCCCATATTACTCATGGGAAAATTGAGGCACAAAGAAACTGTGGTTTGCTTAGAGTCAAAAGATCAATGGCATAGCTAAAATGAGAAACTAGGTCTCATGAATGCTCAGTCTAGTGCACTAACCAATGGATTATGGTTAGGGACCTATCTAAATCATGGTTTTGCAGAAACTACGAAAAACAGCATTGTCCATGATCATTGGAAAATCTGACATTGGCTGTGATTTTCTACAAAATCAACCAAAAAACCCCAGTAGTGACACAGACTGAATGGAAGTGCCCTCCGCTGATTAGCAGTGAGGGGTGAGGCAAAAAAACATGGTAGTAATACCGACTGAGTGAAGGCGCCCTCCGGCAATCAATGGCGAGGGGCAGGGCCACTGCAAAATGCCCTCAAAATCAGCTCTGCACATCACAACCAGGCCATGAAAAACCCTCTGTCTTGCCACAACTTGTGCAGGCCCCTAACTATGGTGCAACATTAATTTATTTAGAAAATTCATATAAAGTATTTTATGTTGAGTATTTCTTGTTTCTTTGTTTTACCTTTCCTGAACATTTATTTTTTCCCTGGTTACTGAACTGAACCTGCACGTAAATGGTACAGTAGAGCTGAAAGACTCCTAGACATCACTTCATTTTCTCTCAGTGCAAATTTCTACATGTTTTATAGAAAACCTTAACTGTAAAGTGTCACACGTGTTAAATGTTTTATGATTTGCTTTCATCTACACAGAGCTCATGACATTTGTTTTGAATTTTTGATTAGCAAAATGACTTGTAGAAAGTTAACTTTTTAAATTCTGTTCTGATACAGAACAACATTGTGTAGAAAGCATGATTTTAATGGCATTTCTCTTGAATGCTCATTAAACCAGGCAGAAAGGATAAGAGAGCTAGCAATGTCCCCTAAAAGCAAAAGATTTTCTGTGGAAGTGAACAGTAGCGATAAGTCAGGTGGTGGTTGTCTATTTATATCACACTGGGGTTAAAAAGTGAAAAACAATTACTAGTGTGAAATTCAGAGAAAACTGACCATTGAACATGATGAAGAAACTCCTCAATGTGATGAAGAATTAGGCAAAGCAAAAATCTTAGTTGTGGATTTGAGCATCTCAGACATTGCCTCTAGATAAAAGGAATACTTATTTTTGGATAGCATGCTTTCTTCTTCTTAGAAAACTGGCAAAATGTTAGAGCCTTTTGTAGGTATTGATGGGTTCTGGGGAGGCTGAGTGGGAGCAGGAGAAAGAAATGAGATCAGAAAAGTAGAGCATGGGTAGCAATGCTTACTATTACATTTGCTTAACAGTTTCCACACTGTGTTGTTTTCATATACACATGAAGGGGTGTGGAGTGGGATGGTGGGGAAAAGACACGAAAGGGAAAAAAGATAAGAATCAAAGAGGAAACACACAGGCACCATAATGGGGAGCATGATTTAAAAATATGAACAGAGGACAAAGAGGAGAGGTGGAGAAATGGAGAGAAAGAAGTAAAACAAAAGATAGCTAAAACAGCTCAAGGAAAAGAAACCATTATAAGGCAGAAAAGGGAGAAAATGACTCCATATTATGAAGGGAAAGAAGTTGTACCTGTGTTGTAGACATAGTACTTAACTTGCCAGCATCTTTAAATTGACACTTCTATGAAATAGGTTTACAACTATGGGATGGACAAAGGTACATTTTAACAGCTTGAGAAGGGGACAAGGAGCTGCTGCTCCAGATCAGGAGGCAGCTATTAACTGTAACTGCTACATGTGCATAATCCTGCAGCTATATAGGTATAGCAAAACTGCTCAAACTTTAACCTTGGTTAAATCGAGGGTCAAAGAGCAATTTAGTTCACTTGTATCACTACAAGCTAATGCACACAAGTCGCAGCATAGGAGCTGTTGCCGGATCTAGAGCACTGGCTCTCCCTCCTTTTTTTCAAAGTGCTATAAATATACCTTTATCCACATGCTATTACTGACAAAACTGCCTGTTCTTTTCTCATCTGTATTATGAAATATTTCCTGCAAATGTTGTATCCCTTCTCAGTAAGAGAGACAGTGTAATCTAGTGGACAGGACTCTGACCAGTTCTCTATTCCAAGCTCTGTAACGAACCTTTGGGAAAGTCACTTCCCCTCTCTGCTCTCCTGTTGCTCTGTCACCCTAGATCAGTCTGGCGTGTTTAGACTGTAAGCTCTTAGGAGCAGGGACTGTGTCCGACTGTGTGTTTGTACAGTGCCTGGCACAATGGGGCTTCAGTCTTACAGTGGGTCCTCATGCTTTACTGCAATACAATGTGTAACTGTTGTGCTGATTATGTTTCTAGGAGCTAGCTGTTCCCAGCGTCCATGATGGAGGAGCTCTTATGGCTTTTGGTGCTGGTGTGGTATATATTACACTTCAGTCTATCATCTCTTACAAATCATATCCACAATGGAGCAGCTGCTGTATATGTTATATACGGATAAGCATCTCTGTAGTGTCATGCATAGCTGTCATTCCCAGTATCCTTTTTTGTGTTTCACAGCGTTTTATCTTTACATATTAAATGTTCTTCCTCTGGTGTTAAAGCACTACTAAAAAGGATAAAGACTAAGCTAGCTTATTTTGCCTGGGACTCCCTTTTGATTTACACTGTATACAAGTTGCATGGTTAGCAAGTGGGTAGCATCCGTAACATGAATGGCTGCTGCCAGACCTTACCAGCTGCTGTCTCTTTGCTAAACGCAAAGTTGCTATTACTTGCTCCCCTGCTACCTAGATGCAAGATGCAGCAATAAACACTTACACTGCATGCTCCCTCAGGCTAACTATGCTTTCTGTTCCTTCTTGATCCTGGTGTAAAATTACATCGGTACACAAAATTATATAAATTACACTAGGCTGTGCAATAGTCTGCTCATGGCCTAGGTTTCATGCTCATTTTCTGTGCATTTGGTAGTGAGGGAAGGAAGGAGAGAAGAGGAATTTCTATTTTAAAGGAAAGCTGGTCCATAAAAATACAAAATAATTCAGAAAGCAGGTACAAAAGGTTATCCTGTACTAAGTATCACACTGCGAGCCATTTATACCAAAGGTCCATGCATATCACTTCTCTTTGACCCATGAAGCAGCATCCATTAGAGAGTTATTTTGACTGCAGAAGGGAGCTGAGCCCCATTTTGTTCTCTAACTGAAAAGGCAAGCAGCCACCCACCTAAACTGTCTCCTGGATAAATGCCATAAGCCAGGGGTGCTCAATCCTCAGCCTGTGGGGCAGATTTGGTCCTTAAGGCTCACCCAGGGGTCCAAAAAATTGGCAGCAGGAGAGTGGTTGGCAGCATTCATTGCCGTACCCTAACTGCCAAATTTCTGGACCCTTGGGTGAGCCCTTGCAGGCAGATAGCATGGCCCTGCATGCTAAATCAGGCTTGCTGGGCTGGGGTGGCACAGGGCCCAATCTCGGTGCATGGGGCTGGGGCACAGGACCACAGCCAGGCAAGATCTGCATGTGTGGGGCTTGACCCAGGCAGCGCAAGGTGGGTTCTGGGCACGTGGAGCCTGAACCTATGCAGGATTCAGCCCATGGACTAGCTCTGCATCAGTCATCCAGCCCACAGCCTGAAAGTTTGAGCACCACTGCCATAAGCAATTCTGGATGGTTACCAAGGGGAGCAAAATAATAAGAAAAGGTTAAAACCTTAAGTTTGTTCTTTTGTCATCATAGTATCTAAGCTATGAAAGGCAAAAGGTCAGGTTTTTTCCTTGGTGCTCATAGTCAACCATCTTCTTAAAGACTAGTCAGCTAGGTATTTTTAAAACCCTTGTCACCATAGTGTATGCAATAGCATTCAACAATAGCATTCAACAACTGAACAGACATACATTTCAGTAGATAGGATATGTCCCCTGGGCACTGTAATTTACAACTTGTCTAGCTCATAGTGCAGAAAACTCTTAGCTCACCCATGATTTAACCCATACCAAAACACTAGTTATTGCCAGTCTTGCTTTTTGATTCACAACTTTTCTATTTAATGGCAGTAAATATTTACAGAATGCTGTATAACCTACAACACTGTAATAATGCTATAAAATATGTCTAGATACTTACCTTCTCATGTCAATGTATTTCATAGAATGGTTTAGATTATAATGATTTGTAATAGTTTTGCCCACAAGAAGAGGTCAGAAAACTAGTTGTCTGGGTATATATTAATGTTTGGTTTATTATGACAGTAATACAATAGAGAAACTAAAAAAGGCCAAAGTAGAAAAAAAATAATATTCCCATATTGCAAAATCCATCTATTGCTGACTATATGATTTTGCTTCTCCTATAGCAGCAGCAGGCTTCATGAGAAAAAGGAACTTTGTTGAGAATTTCCTGTCAAAAAACTGAAAACATTTCTTTTATATTAAATTTAGTGTTTTATCACAATAAAAATCAGCTGTTATATAAAGAAAAGTATTTCTTTAAGAGTGTTAGTGAGCTAACTGTTCTATTCATGTATTCAATAGGCATGTTACAATATAAACTCATTAGTACTAACAACTACTAGATTTATCACAAAAAGACCCCCCCCCCCCAAAAAAAAAAAAA